GGAACATATTTTGTGTTAATTATATATTCTAATTACTGCTGTAAATTAATGAAAAATCATAAATGAGAGAAATACAACACAATAAGTTAGAAGATTGAAGTTTGACAATCTTTCTTGCTCTTTTTTTGAGGTTTTAAACTTTTGACACGTGTAGGAGTTGATAAATATTAAAGCTAGAAATCTCAATTTATATATTTATTAGAGTATTCACTCCAAATTAAAAGAAAGAAAGAAAGAATTTAGACAAAATATGGTCATAATTAACAAGTATTCTTGGACATTATTATTAAGAAAAGTAATATTCTTGGACATCATTAACATTAATACCCTTTGATAAATCAAATGTTGAATGTTGTATAGAAGTTCACATGACTGTATATATGGTTCGGACATTATTATTAAGAAAAGTAATATTCTTAGACATCATTAACATTAATACCCTTTGATTAATCTGTTGGTATGTAGCATTCTATTGATTAGGTGGCTGGGTAATGTTGTTGTCACTTGTATAATAAATTATTTGATCTCGAGGACTTTAACGAATTTGGTTCTTTGATTTGCTCCTTTAAACGACAATTATTAATTGGAAAATGTCAATTGAACTTCATACTAAAACGGTTTGTTTTTGTGCTATAAATTATATTTTGGTACGGAAACCTTAAATTAATATATTTTAATATTTTATTTTGATGATTTTGACATGTTCATATAAAAAAAAATCTAAAACAAAATTATTTATGCAGCCTTGCAGCACTTTTCAAAAAATTTGAATTTTTTTACTTTAAATTATTTTTTTGATTTTTTATATAGTTTTTAAAATAAAAAATAAAAAATCAATTTTTTTAAAAAAAACATAAAAATCGCTTCGTGATTGTTATGAATTGGACCGAATATATCAGTCAAAAGACCTCTATCGAAGGGTTTGATAATTCATTAGCAAAAATTAATTAAATTGGAAAACGATAATCCAACCACCAATTGAAGACCAAAAGGCAAGATGTCAAAATAAGGAGTTAGTAAGGAATTTCGACAAGCTGACAGGTGAACCGACAACCAAAAGCTCGAAATCAGAATCCGAACGGGGACTACTCTTCTCCGGAGGATCGATCGCCATGGGAGAGCATCTATTCGAAGGAAACTATGGGTTCGAAGGGGAGGAGCAAAACATTCTAATCCGAGCTGTCTATTTAAAATAGTCCGAGAAAGAGACGGTTGAGCGGGGAATTAAAGCTCAACCCGACTTACCGTCATCCTTTTCAAGGATAAACCGTGACCCGGGTTTTTTGTTTTTTTTTTTTCAAATTCAAACCTGTTTAAGTTCTAAGTTAGTCAAGTCTTTGATTAAATAGACACATTTTTAAAACATATGACAAACTTTAAATAATATTAAGTGTTTGTTTGAGAATATAATTTAAATTATTATTTAAAATAATTTTTATTTAAGAATATATTAAAATAATATTTTATTATTATTTTCTTAAAACTTATTTTTAATATAATATAATAACTATGATAAGCAAGTTTTATTTTTATAGCTTTATCTTCTAGGAAGTTGGTAAGAATTAGGGTTCATGTATTCAGCCCTAAGCCCATAAGCATTAAGGCAAAGGGCTCTGCACTTTATATTCCTCAACTTTAAGTTTTTTTGGGAAATATTATTCAACTCGTGTTTCTAAAACATTTAAAATTATTTTTATTTAAAATTAATGTTTTAGATATTTAAAGATCATTTTGAAGTGTTTAATATAAAAAAATTATTTTGAAAAAATAAAAAAAATCATCTTAAAATATTTTTAAATAAAAAATATTTTAAACCATAATTATCATTTCAATCCCAAACAATCCCGATTCATCTCCATCAGAGCATACAACCCACCATCTTATTATACATAGCCTCAGCAAAGACCACCCATATCAGAAATGACAAAAAAGCTTGAAAAAAAAGATTTTTTTAATATTAATAAATTAAAATCATTTTAAAAAACACTTTTTTTAAGGAAAAAAAACATTACAAAACATGGTGTTGACCTAAACGCATATGATAGATGATTTTATGGGTTCAACTTTCATACAAGTTATCCTACAATAATACAAGACAGTACTGAAACCTATTTGAAAACAATGTTACCAGAGTTAGGCTGAAATCTACGGGTTCCAAGATTCAACACAGTCATGAATACATGTTTAAAAGGAAAATCGATCCAGAAATAAATATATCTTGAATGATTAAAGTTCAAGAATATTTGTCGTGGCAAAGCACTCAAACTTCAATGGCCACTGAAGATTTCTGCTGCCGCACCAGCCACGGAAAGCTAATTTTCTTGGTGCCTATGAATGGAATGGGGTCATCAAATGGAAATGACGCATCACATCATGTATGACAAGCACATGAACACTATTGTCACCAGGGGAGACATGCATGAACTATCCAGCAATGTATAAGCTATGTAGCTGCCATGCACATCATTCATATCTCACAAGTCAAATCAATACGATTGCGATTGGATAAGAGATGCATCATTGTATTTGTTGTTTTAAAAATATTAAAATACTATATTTTTTATTCTTAAAAAAACATTTTTAATATTAATATATTAAAATATAAAAAATTTAATTTAATTTAATTTTTTATATTTTTAGATCATTTTAATATATTAAATTAATTTTTTTTATATTTTTAGATCATTTTAATGTATTGATATCAAAAATAATTTTTTTTAAAAA